GCATTTGGTCCTTGCAGTGATAAATTTAACTCATTCAAGATGGCGAAGATGGCAACCATGTAAACTATTTTCTGCAGTTCACTTTTATCGCTGAGAAGTACTTCGAACTGGGGTCTTGCTTTTTGATTAAAAAATGTTTTGAGTTCATCAAAGCTCAAAAACACATTTTAAAGCCTTTCCTCTTGACAACCATCTCACTTCAGTGTGAAATAGCAGGGCATTATTCAGCGCATCCAATTCCTTGCACAGTTGCAAAAACAGTTGGCAAAAGTGACAGAACTTATAATGCTTCTCATTACTTCTTGTAACTCTTGTGGCAGCATCTTCATTGCTAATATTTGCCGATGAATCATACCGTGAATTCCAATGACTTTTGGTGACTCATTCAGGACCAAACGTTGAAATCCAGATGGACATCCTAGCATAGCTGGAGCACCATCCGTGCAAACACCACAAACCTTTACCCTAGAGATCTTATACTCTTTCAGAAATGAACCAACTATGTCAAATACATCACATGCAGTAGTTGTTGTTTCAAGAGATTTTCAAAAAAGACTCATCTTTAAAATCACCATCAGTAATAGACCTCACATAGACCAGTAACTGTGAAGAGTTTGCAATGCCTGTAGATTCATCAAGCTGGATGCTAAATATTGGAAGTGGAGCGGATTTAATTTATTGGATTACCTGGTCAAGAATATCAGTAGACATGTCATCTATTCTTCTGAGGACAGTGTCGTTAGATAAGGAAATTTAACTCAATTTTATAACAAATTTTTCTCTGATTATAACTTTGGCTGCTGGAAACAGTAAATCCTCAGCAATGGTGCGAGGTTTCATAGCTCTGGAGATTCTGAGTATGAAGCTTCAAAGGCTGCTATGTTTTGTTTGTGGTACTTGGCACCAGTGTCAAGTCTGGCTTTCTTGAGTCCATCGGCTTGGCTTCTACAATAGTTGATATCAAAATGGTATTTTAGTTTGTTCGGCTTCATACATTCAGCTAATAGAACTTCACAGCAAATAACACATTGCAGTTTCTCAATTCCTGCTGTAATTATTGTTTAAAACCATGTGTAAAAAATCCTCACTATATTTTAATTTCTTAACATTCTTCTCTACACAATCAATTGTCATGGGACGGTTTGCTAATGAAAATAATATATTACAATAGCTTTAATAATACAAAAGATGATACATGGCATAGTTCAGTCATGTAGTTCATTAAAGTTTCCTATGATTTACCATTCCGTGTAGTTTTTTTTACATATCTGTTACTATTACAAGGGGGCAGTATTCACATCAACCACAGCTGAATATAAAACGACCAATCAGCATCCAGATTAAGTTCCCATGGTACAGATATATATATATATTTTTTGCAGTAGTTTATGATTTTACAGTACATGATTTTATATGTACCCAGTAATTATAATTCAGGAAGTATCGTTTTACTCTCAATACTGCTTTCAACACCATAGCTGCTTTTTACACAGTAGCTGCTCTCTACACATGTGTGACTGGTCCGCATAAGTACATTATGGCACCAACCCTGTCACATATACCTGTCACATACGGGGTGTATGTGATGGGGTTGTCACGATGATGTCATCACACTGGGTACTCATATGTGGACGTATTTGCATGTGGGTGGTCCTGCCTGGGGATGGATTGAGGAGCGGTGTCTTGGTTTCTAAGACCATTGAATATATGTGTTTTTCAGTGGTCTTAGGTGACCCCTGTGAAAGGTCATTCAACACCCAAAGGGGTCGCAACCCCCAGGTTGAGAACCGCTGCAGTGCGGGAATTGTGCCTGATCTGACCCCATCACACTGTGGGGAAACACTGAGGGCAAGCAACAGACCAGCAAGGGGAGCAAAGTGAAATCCCTGGGGAAGACCAAAAATAGATTTTGGGGACAGAGTGTGGCACCCCTCAGACTCAACTGGAAAACACTCAAAAAACAGACCTGGAAGTATTTATAGTGTTTAGAAGTAAGTTTATAACTCTACCCCAGTTTACAGATCTGACCCCAAGATATTTAAAACAATACAATTACAGGAGCTGGGATAGGTCTGCCTCCCTATGGACTTCTAATAAGTTCGTCTGCTCACAATAAAGAAGCTGAATAGAAGTCCCATTTATCATGAAAGCCACTCATTATAGATTAGGGGAACTGCAATACTTCTCTAAAATTGTTTTCAAAGTTGAAATTTCCCAAATCCTCTAAAATCATTATACGCTGGCAACTTAGGTCTATCATACCTTTGCCACCTGTTATAATCCTTGTTTATCGTCTCCAGCCCTAGACTTGCAGGTCATGTTGACTTTAGTGAATAAGTACAGAAAGTCTAAAATGCTCAGAAATCTTTCTCAGCTAAAGAAGGTCAAGTACCTGACTGGGTAGTTAGACAGCTAAGAATAGAACCTAGAAAATTTGACACCCTTCTGAATCAACCACTGATCAGTCTTCCCTCTGATGGCTGGCTCACCTACAAGGATGATTTGATTATCTATCCGCACATAAGCTACTTGTTATATATTTTAATCTAAACTCATATTAACTTCCTGTAAGTTACCCCTGGCCTTTTAGGGGGGACTAGATACCGGATGAAGAATGCTATTTGATGGACTGTAACAATCCAGGACATCTGCTAGCTGTCTACTGCATCATTGTATTTGCCACAAGAATCCCTATTTTAAACTATCAATTCATTCTGCCTCCACTTTTAACTTTTACAAGCTTTTACTTCGTGCAATTAACCTCACTACATGTATAGTTAAGTAACTACTTATGTAATACCCAGCTACTAAAGGAAAGTCCTTATCTGTCTTTCAAGGAAAATAAATATTTTGTAGCAAAATACCATGGCTTTCCTTGAGATTTCCTGGAAATTTGGGTTGTAAAATAAAAGTAAAAAGGAATTGCCTTAGTCCAGCACTTGGGTTGTCATTGGTCACTTTTGAGAGCATTAATCTCTAAATTATGTTAGGCTTGGGTTGAAACAATCTTTAAGAAATGTAGCAGTCACCATGGGGCCAATAGCAGACACAACAACTGAGAGATGGGCGTGTCACAGTGATGCTTAACAAACCCTTTGGCCTAAGTGGCCCTGAACAACAGCAAGTTTGACCTTTTACTAGCCCAGCAAGGTAGAGTTGAGGCAGTAGTCAACACTTCTTGCAGCACACCGATAAGACTGCAGGGAAGGTAGAACAGGACATAATAGAATTAGATAAGGCCCCACATAGCTACACACTATAAGCCACTATCAGGAACATGAACACGAGGTAGGTCACCTTTACAAGGGATAGTGAAGATTTTAATTTGCCTTCCATTCATAGTATTATCTTTCACTGCTGCCGCACATGTAGCAGAGGAAAAAGAATGACTTGGATCAAGGTGATGACCATCCACTCTGATCAACACTATGAAGTCTCCTGGTCATTGCAGCCACGATGGTGTCCAGTGAAAATCCAGCACTGAGTGATTCCAGGACCAATGTTGGCTTCCATTTTCAGCCCAGGCTAACTATCAGTGTGCTATCTTCAACCGCTAGTCTGGAGGAGGAAAGGCATCCAGTGCCAGGCACCAAAAGCCACTGGTTTGACAGCAAGCTCCATCTCCATCCTACCTATGCTTGAAGCAGTCCACAAGCCATCTCGAGTGTTCTTTCTACACTCACAACTCTCACCACTCAGCTGCATCGAAAATGCAGGGAGAGCTGGTGTTCTTAGAGAAAGATGCAGACGCATGCACATGCACACAAACACACAAACTAGAAAGCTTGGCCTAATAGTGTCCTCAGAGCTAGAACATAGAGGGGGAAAAAAGTTATCTTTTGGGGCCTTTCACTTCAGCCTGTTAGAACAACAAACACCTCCCTATTTTTATTATCGCATGTACATTAAGTCTTTGAGAGTAAAGTAGTGGAGGGAAGTCTTGAATTGTTCTTGGGCAAGCATAGCGTTGCTAGGTGGTCAATCTGTTCCTTAGTCCTCTTTTCTTTTGTCTCATGATGACCATGAGAATTCCCCTCGGACAACCTTCGGTGTGACTGTAGCAGAATTTTCTGAAACAAAGACCTAGTTGAGCCTGAGGAAACCCAGACGGCAGACCATGAATAAGCCCCTGCCTATGAATGCTGCACAGCCTCAAGTCAAGCATTTCCACTGGCTAGAGCTTGCTCCCCATAATGAGAGAGATTTCTACTCACAGAGGCAGGGTGAGGATTTTCTGAACCTCGTATAAGCTGTAAGCTGCTACAGAAGGAGAGACCTCAAACCCTGATCCCATAAAGAATTATGTGTATGGAATCTCTCAAGGGGGAAATGAGAGAGGTGAAAGGGTCAAAGGTGGAGATTTGGACAGAGCATGTGCACATACATAAAACATCTTGGGACTACATTGCAAGAACTGCTTGATACCCTGATGGAAATTCCAGAGAATCTCATGCACACAACTGGAATCCTTAAAAAACTGGTATGCATGTGAGGGGTTGAAGTACTGAGGCCAGCTATGCAGGGTGTTAAGGATTTCTTTATCCTGTGAATCCTTAAATAATGCCATGTGTTTTCCAGAAATAAATCTTTCTCTTGGTAAGATAAGAACCTGGATTCAGGTAACAGAAGAAAGAAGATAATTTATTTCAAGCATAATTAATATAAATTGGTTGAATATCCCTAGCAAAAATCCTGAGACTCTATTATAAAAGCAATGTCCTATTACACGTGGTTTATAAGAAACAAATCTAAAACGATGTGACATAAGTGAAAATCAAAGAATACTAATTAAAAAAAAACAGTCAAATGTACGTGAAAAAGAAGCACAGCTATACATATTACCTCTAAACTTTTTGAAGTGGAATATGACTAAAAATATCTAACCTTTTAGATCTGTTTTAATAATCCTATTGATTTGATATATCTATATAATCACACCATTGCTGGAGTTTGTGTTAATTTTCGAGAAGGAATAGGAATACCAGCAGTTATTGTGTTACCTTTTTGTGGGAGGCCTGAACGGCTTGCTTGAAGGCAGACTGCTGGTTGGTGCTTTGACTTCTCTTCGAGGAGTAGAAAATGGGCACCGAAAAAGCGTCTCCCTGGTGACTTGCATGGGAAGCTTTCCGGTTTTCATTATCGCCAAGGGAAATTAAGTCATTGTAGAATTCTGTCTGCAAATCATCCTCTTCAGTAGTTACCTGGAAAGAAGTCAGAAGAAGTAAAACATAGCTTCAGAAATACTGGAGCTAAGGGTAGATATATAACATTAACAATCATCCATTTATTTCTGAGTTTAACAAATACATTTGAGGACTCACTTTTTGAGAGAAGAAGAAATACTATTTGCCCTGCATTTAAGGGGTTATTTCTTTAAGGAGAGAGAGCATGCACACTCAATTTAATATGGTACATGTTGTGTTCCTAGAGGGATATACAAATAACAATAAAAGCCAGAAAGGCAATTATCTGTGACAATTATTCTTCAAGGAAATAATACCTTGGCTAAGAATTGAAGAGGCTACAATCCATTTATGAAGCTCTGGTGGTGTAGTGGTATATGTTGGACTATGATATCCACAAGGTCGTCAGTTCAAAACCACCTGCAGCTCCTCGTGATAAAGACTGGGCTTTTCCTTCTGTAAACAGTTACAATCTTGGAAACCCACAGGGGCTCGCCATGAGTCAGCATTGACACTATGGCAGTGAGGTATATTTTTATGTCTTTGGGAGTATTTCTAATCTGATCATGTGGTACAATTGGTTAAGTACTCAGAAACTAACCATATGATGGGCATTTCAATTTCACCTAGGAAGCACTGCTGAAGAAGCCCTAGAACTCTATTTCTGAAAGGTAACAGCCATTGGAATTCTTTGAGCGCGCTTCTGCTTTGAAACACTTGACCTCACTATGAGACAGAATCATTTGAGAGCAAGTAGCTTATTTGTTTGTTTGAGTGGGTGCTTGGTTTTGATGAAACAAAGGTCTGGCAAGAAGAAAACATCTCTCTGGTTCCCAGCCCATGTCCTTGGCTTTATTCAGACCTTGGCTTCCAGCTTGGGTCAGTCTGAAAACAAAGACAATCTTATGGGTCTTCCTGTTGAGTGACTGTAACTTCTCACTGATGTGTTCTAAGAAGAAGAAAAGTATAAAAGTGGGACTGCCTGGTGTGATCAGTTGGGTAGGGTATGTTTCAAACGGAAGTGGAAAGAAACTCTGTGACAGCTATGTGAGCAAGAAATAGAAGTGGATGAATGAGAAAAGGTATCAAGGAAGTTACGGCCTCCTGCTGGAGCAGTGGTTACATGTGGGCTGCTAAACTCAAGGTCAGCAATTTGAAACCATCAGCAACTCAAGAGAAAGATGAGGTTTCTCTACCCTGAGAAGAGTTAAGGTCAACAATGGGCTCAGCATAGGAGCAATGGTGAGGATGGTGCAGGAATGAGAAGTGTTTCGTTTTGTTACACATAGGGAGATAGTCTTGGAAAACTACAGGAGAAATTCTACCCCATGCTATAAGGCCACTATGAGTCAGAACTGATTTGACTGCATAGCGTTGTTTGTTTGTTTTAGCAAGTAAATTAATTGATGAGTGGGGACTTAAATTGGTTCTCCAAAATGGTCTTTGCAGCTAAGCAGGTATTCCCTGTGTATCACTGGGCCCATCTGAATTATACTCTTCCCTCACTGGGAGCCAGAGCAAAACCAGAGGCATTGTGAATACTTCCTGGTCCCTCCCCCTTGTCGGAATTTCCTAACATCCTGGTGTCAATGGCTTCAGCAGCTTAGGTATCCTACCACGCTGGACACTGAAGAGGAAGCCACAGAAAGAACCCTCAGTGGAAGTGTTCCTGACCAGACCAACTGCCAGCTGGAAGAAGCAGGACTGCTTATCCTTGTTTGCAAGCACCAGGGTATAATAAAAGAATGTCTCAATGTACAAAAGTGCTTGACACAATGGATGGATGTATGGATTGTGATAAGAGTTATACAAGCCCCCAATAAAATGATTTAAAATAAAAAGAATGTCTCTCAGATTGGCTGCAGGTCAGATTTTTAGTCTCTTGGCCTGTACATATAGGGAGTCACTCCCTCTTTGGCACTTGAGCCCCCCCAAAAACATCATGCATTTGTATTAAAGATGTTTGTCGAATTTGCAATGGAAATAAATCTCTTCTTGTTTTGAAGTGTTCAATATATTCAACTGAGGATAACTTGAAGCAAGAAGGAGCCCTGGTGGCTCTGTCGGGTAGACATTGGATAGCTCACCACAAACTCAGCAATTCAAACCCACCGAACCTTCCATGGAATAAATTTGAGGCTATCTGTTCCTATAAATAGTTTTAGTCTCAGAAATCCTATGAATCAGAATTGACTTGATTTTGGGTTTTGGTATGAGACAAGGAGCCCTGCTGACACAATGGTTAAGTGCTTCATCTGTATTAACAACTCACAAGCCTATCCATGGGAGAAAGTTATGCTAGACTACTGTAAATATAATAGCCTGGGAAACCCCAAGAAATGACTCAGTTTCACTCTTTACGGAATATATGAGCAACGTAGGATTGTTCAGTCAGAAGAAGATGGAAAGAAGACACAGAGTTACTGTCCCCCCAAAAGTGAATCAACATTCAACCATATTAAGAGGTAGCAAATGAGCTAGAAACAATGGTGCTTAAAAAAGAAGTTCAAGCTTCACTGAAAGAATTAGCCAAAAACAAGGCTCCTGGAATTGAGGGAATACCAAGTTAAATGTTTCAACAAGTTGATGAAGCACTGGAAGCACACACTCATCTATGCCAAGAAATTTGGAAGACCGCTACTTGGCCAACTGACTGGAAGAGATCCATATTTGTACCCATTCCAAGAAAAGTGGCCCAGCAGAATGCTCTAATAGTAGAACAATATTCTTGATACCATATGCAAGTACAATTTTTCTGAAGACCATCCAACAACAGTTGTGGCAGTACATTGACGGAGACCTGCCAGAGGATCGGGACAGATTCAGTAGGGGACCTGGAACAAAGGCCATTATTGTTGATGCCAGATGAATCTTGGCTGAAAGCAAAGATACCAGAAAGATATTTATACATGTTTTATTAACTATGCTATGGCATTTGACTGTGTGGACCATAACACA